AATATTAATGACTGACGAACACTGTTTTAATCACTGTAAGTAAAAGAAGTTAAAGAAACTTTGATAACCATATTGGTCTAAAAATGTAAGAAATTTTTGTTCTATGTATAGGCGTTAACTCACCTGAGGAAGGATTAAAATAAATCCGAAACATTGTAGATTGGCAAAAAAGCCGGTTGTTGTTTTTTTGAGATGACCTATTATCCCACCTTCGAGAAGGAAAACTCAGAAGGTAAACTTTTGAGGTCCAAATAAAAAAACTACGTTGGTTTTCTACCAAAAATTAAATTGAAAGTTCTATAATATTAAAAGTTTTCAATGCTTTTTTTGGATTTTCCTATAATTCGATTGGCTGGTTTTTACATAAAAAAATAAAATAATATGTAGAATTCTATTAAATAAGATTTGACATTGACTGTTTTAATCCTTTTTAAAAAGATAGTTCCTACTCACAGTAAGTTGTTTTGTAACGATCCAGATTTCGAGCCCTTTAGCTCATCATCAGGTTGAAGGACTTCTACAACCACGTCTCTCGACATGAATTGCCAAAGTGTGCAAAAGTGATTTTTGCAATTCATTTCAAGAGATCAATTTATACAATTGATTTTAGAAATTACATCGACTTATTTGTTATTAGTGTAGGTTCTTTAATTTTAAATGAAAGGGTGTGAATAGTTTTATAGTTATGAAGGCTATTTTAATGTTATCAAAAGAGAGAAATTTCTTTAATTTCTGTGATTGCCCATGAACGAATGAAATGGACAAGTATGTTGGTTTGTCTGTGTTAGGTAGAATGTAGTGTTATTAGTGATAGTACATGATGTTAGTGTTGTGTTTTAGTTGTTGATTATGTATTTAGGGTAGTGATTGTTATGTAAGACATATTTGTATATTTTTATGTTCTTGTGATGAAAAGATTCATGGCTCAGGGTAATAATTCTGTGAAGTAGCCCTTTGGCCGTGTTTGTTATTGTAGTAATAAAGTAAAAGTAAAACGTTGCAAATATTTTTCTAAACCTACATCACACTAGACTGCATCTCACGATCTCTAAATAATCATTAATTAACGGTCACTAAATACTGCACAGTAAAATTAATAATTATCTAAAAAGAAAGGATTCATTTTTTAACGTACCTAAAGTTAAATATAAAAACAATAAAATGTTTTTAATTATAAAAACCTTCTATTAATTCAAGAATTTTTTGTATTGAAAAAAAACTCGAATTAATAGAAGAATAATTTATTTTTATATTCAGTTTTAAAATTTTAATTGTTATTAAGTTTTATGTGAATTTATATAATGGCCAATTTCATACTGAAAAAAATCTCAAATTAAATGGAGAATCCATTTTTGTTAAATTTAACTGCACATAATTTTTCCTTTTAATTGTCAATAATTTTAATATGTTCTTCTAACAGCTTATTTTTTTACTTTAATGAAAGGGTTAATGTGAAGGTAAAAAGTGTTACTTTGACATAAAAAAGCTGTAATATACATAAAAAGAGATGAACCAACTGATCTATGTTAGAAATTAGACTACACAAAATTTTGGGTTGTCCGGAAAATAATGCAGGTTTTCATTTTTGTTCCAATTATCTCTCTACATAATAAACGTTTTACGTGTGATGGATTATTCTTTCGTACGATGGTCAGCACTTTTTAATCTTCTTACAAGCAAAAATGTTTGTTTACCTCCGTAGCATTTCGTTACATGGGAATAATTCAAAGATAATTGAAAATATTAATTGGTCAAGCGGACCACGAAAAATAGTGACTTTACGAAGATGTTAACGCGTGATTTTCGTATAACGATTTACGAGTTTAAAATCGGTCGGAACGGTGCCAAAAATCCCTGAAACAATGAAATCTGGTACGATGGCAATGTGGGTGAGACCACCGTTCAGAGTGGGTTAAAAATTTTCGAGAGGGAGACTTTCGCCTTAAAGGTAAAGTTCGTGGAAGAATTTCTTCCTTAGATGATGATGTTCTGCGAGCTTTGGTCGAAGAAAATTCCAGAACTGCTGTTCGAAAACTTGCAGATAATCTTTCAGTTAGAAACTTGATCATTGCTGACCACCTTAAGGGAATTGGAAAGGTGAAATAGCTCTAAAGTGATGCACTGTTTGGTGGTGCTTAATTTGGGCTGATTTATCACAGCCTTTTGAATCTTGGTCAAACAGTCAATGTCAAAATGTATTGCTCTCAACTGACGCAATGCACTAGAAATTGGCATTATTGAAGCATTATTCGGTCAACCGGAAAAGGTCAAAACTGTTAGATCTTGGTTATGATGCTTCACCCTCCCTATTCTCCAAACCCGTCGCCTATCGACTACTATTTCTTTAGACACTTGGACAACGTTTTACAATATAAAAAATTCATTGATCAAGAGTCTTTAGAAAATATGCTTACGAATTTGTTAATAATAAAGACTCAAAATTCTATTCAGAGCGTATGGAGAAGTTGCCATCATTTAATTGTTTTTATTTTATAACCATAAACTTGCATTATTTTCCGGACAACTCAATAAAACCAGCACTAGTGGGAACAAAAACGAAATTGTAATAACATCTGAGACAAACCCACTAGAAAGAAACAGTACAATACAGGATGACAAATATATAGGACGGACGCAAAGAACATATAGGTCAGAACGAGGAAATATTTAAATTTAAAAACCTCGACCACGATACAGAGACGAAGAGGAAGAAGATCAAATAATGGTCATTTCATCACCCCCCAGCCAGTGCTCATACATTCTTGTAAGAGAAATTACATTTCTTGGGTTGGTCTGTCCGACGCGATTCGGCATTTCATATTCGTTGCGTCTGTTGTTAAAATAAAACTACTGGTTCATCACCGCAGGCCACTGGAGAAAACCTTGCGCTTCTCAGATTAGACGAAGTTCTGCTATATAAGGTTAGAGTACATTTTCTGCAAACTCAATTTGCATGCGCACTTTAAGCTGATTCTTACACGCAAAATGATGACGATAAATTTTTAAGCCGGAACACACTTACCCGATTCAACGCCATGCGACGCTACCCGATGCTACCCGACGAAAATCCCAAGTTCAATTTTCCATAAGATTGTATTACCTCCGTGCACATCTGCCCGATGCCACGCAACGCTATCCTACTCTACGCTACCTGTTGCAACCATGATCCCCACTGTCCAGATTTTCGTCGGGTAGCATCGAGTACAGTAGAAGACAAAAGAAATGGACACTCAGATTTATATTTCAAACTAGGTATATGTAAATTTTGTCGTTATATTAATTACAATTGAAAAATGGCAAAAAGGAGGGAAAATTCAAAAGGTGCGGTTGAGATGGGAAGTTGGTGTCCGAGTGGATCGAGGTCACGATAGCTCAAGTGGTAGAGCAGCGGCGTATCAAGCCGAAGATCGTGGGTTCGAATCCCGCTCGTGCCATTGACTTTTTTATCTCAACTAAAAACCTTAATTAATTGTAATATATTAATTGGTCAAGCGGACCACGAAATTAGTGAATTTAATGATTAAAAATGAAGTATACTTCACTAAAGCTCTCCGTGGCCATTTCATTTGTCGTCGAGAATCCAATCCGATTACACGACATTTGAAAAATGGCAAAAAGGAGGGAAAATTCAAAAGGTGCGGTCGAATCCCGCTCATGCCATTGACTTTTTTATATCTAAACTAAAAACCTTAATTAATTGTAATATATTAATTGGTCAAGCGGACCACGAAATTAGTGAAATTATTTATTATGTTGGTTAGAAAGAAAATTTATCAAAAGACCGGAATAACTCTATTAAAACAATTAAATTTAATTAACAATTTATTACAAGGTTTTGCTCATAACATTACACCATTTTCGTCGAGTAGCGTCAGAACAGGACACTCATATTTTTAAACTAAGTATATGTAATTTTGTCGTTATATTAATTACAACATTCCTATTTTAATGTAAACCAAATTAAACGAGATCAAAAATTCAGAAGTTTTTATAAAATTTATTTAATTATGATGGTTAGGCAGATAACTTATCAAAACACCGTAATAACTTTATTTAAAACAATTATGTTTAACAATCAATTTATTACATGGTTGTGCTCAAAATAATGCATTAAAAACAAAAGAGGAGTTGCGATTGTCATAGAGATTATTGTGATACAAGCTGTGTGGCTGTACATGGCGTGCGCTTGACGTCGCGTAGATGTGCACACCCTACCAAAACGAGACAAAGCGTCGGGTAGCATCCGGTAGCTTCGCATAGCGTTGCGTCGAGTAAGTTTGTTCCCCGTTTTAATGCTAAATGGGCATTACAACAAAAAAAAAAAATCATCTCAAGTACGTCAATGTGCCCTGCCGTTCACGCTATTGTGATTTCTAGTCACAAATAGTCACTTCATTACCTCCAGCCATTTTTCAAATTATAAAATTACAATTTGATCGCGTTTGAATGGTTCGTGATTATTTCAAATCCTTAAACTCCTTTTTCAGAATTTTACTCGCACAATGGGTACTTGTTTTTTTGTAAAACTTCACAGTTGAATACTTCCCAACTTAATTAAAAGCAATCACAGTTCTAATGAAGAGTATATTAAAACTGTTCACCCTCAACTAATCATAGCAAAATCATTAATCATTCACTTGTGAACCTCAATTTCCTAGGTGGGCCCCAAAACCCCCATAAAGCCGCCACTTTACCGCGTCCTAATTAAACACAGTCTTGATACAGCAAGTTGTTACGCTCCATACGTTTATTTTTCTCAAAGCGCAAAGAGGAAGTTCGACTTAAATGCGGATTTGTCTTCTTTTTTTTTTTTTTAATAAAACAACCATTCATTGCCTCGCATTTCGAATTATGACAAGAAAATTGACTTAGTAGTGAGTCATTTATGATAATGCTCTTTACAATATTTGTGCACTCACACACGCACAGCCTTACTGAATTTCCTACAATGCACATAAATGCTTTTGTGTTACGAAATGATAATAAAAAATATGTCTCACCTCCGGAAACGACGCAGGTGAGTTTCAAATCTGCTCCCTCTTCATAGGGTCCGGCAACGGAAGGTATCTCTTTGCCTGTATCATCAAAAACAGTCGGCTTCTGGGGTGGAACTGAAACAGATTTACCATGATAAAAATAATTTTATGTTCCGTTTTATTAAATGGTTAATTTTTAATGCTGTTGTTGTGAGTGTAACGTGTTCACCAATCAGAAGAAAAGAACATTCAGATTAAGAAAAGGAAGGGAGAAAATGGCGGTCAGGAGTACACCATTTTCTACCAAAGTACAGACAATTGATGTTTGGTATTAAAAAACAAACTTATTTAATCATGATACATCATGAGATTTTTTTTTTCAAAAATCCGGGTAACAGCCTGAGGGCATTGAAGAATTGAATATATTACAGGATCCGCCTAAGGCTGATGTATGTTTTTTTTACATAAAATATTGTAGGAATGTGATCTGGTCCTATACCACTAAACGTACGCAGTGTCCGAAAGCTTCTGACTTTATATTTTTCAATTGCGATTGTATTGAGAATACTCCAGGGAAATTAACGAGGTAGCGGCAATTTTTCTGACAGCCAGCTGTTTTTTTTTTTATTTTTTACCATGTGGATTTTAATTTTGATACGCATTTCCTGTTCGGGAAAGCCTGTAACTTTTTGCGAAAGCATCAGATACTGTATTTCAGAAAATTGTGAAGGTAATTTACTTGTTGAAAGAGAGGCCGAAAAGAATGCCTTCTTTCGGTACTGATTTTTCAAAATCTATTTAATTTATTACAACCCATATTTCTTAAATTTTATTTTTCATAATATACTACTACTTTCTACTTAGGAGATTATTTAAATAGTGAATAATTAATTTTTTGGCAATACTCTAAAATTGAGGCAAAACGTTACACCGTTTGTTTCTAAAATCCCCCAATTCTATGTCCTTTAAAAAAAATTTCGGCACGATTATTTGCTTATTATTTAAATTATTAATTTTTGTTGCTGTTGTTCTAAGTGTAACGTGTTCACGAATCAAAAGAAAAAACAATCAGATTACGAAAAGGAAAGGAGAAAATAGTGATCTAGGGGAGACAGTTCTTGCCGTCAAGATGTGCGTTTTTGTGTTTTTTATGAGTGAATGAATTTATTAGAGTGAATGGGGAGGGGCTGATGGTGGAATAGCATCCCCTTCGCCCCTCGAGCAATGTACGTGACTTGGGTCGATGGCAGAATATTTAAAAAAGTACCCCATCGACGACACCAATTGGATTGGTTTGTTATCGTGTGCAGGTTGATGGAGGAATATTCAGTACTCCATCCACCAAATAGAATGAATGCAACGTATATCGGTGTGAATGTATTTATTTGTGCGAATGCGTATTGAATGTGTGTTGCAATATTTCGCATGCGCTCGAGCTGAAATGACCAAGCTGTCCGATGCCCCTGTCAAACAAAAAACAAACTAATAAAAAGTAATAATAATAAGATGGATGATCGGAGACATGTCTTCGCAAACGTCAAGAAGTCAGGAAACACAAGATATATTTTTGTTATGACGTCAGAGAAATAAACAGAGGTGACTACTGGTACAATCCCGTAACTGAACTGGCAAAAAAAACCGAACAATGTAGCTACATAATACAGATACACTGAGACACAAAAAAATGACAACCCTTGTTTTTTTAAAGTCGTTTTTGTGTCCAGGCACAACTGAATGTTTACTATTATCCACATATTCCATTATAAATTTAGACGAGGCGAACAAAAGTGGATCGACAGTGCGTCGAATTTATATCGATTTTAAAGACGAAATCAGACTTAATTCTTAAAGTTTGACTCCAGTCATGGCTTCGAAGGGAAAGAAAATATTGTAGTTTTTTGAATCTGCGGTTCGAAATCTCCCACGCTTCTGAATCCCTTCCGGTTTCCATGCCCAAAGAAAGACGCTCAACGGTTTTGTCTGTGCCGCAAAATATAAGTAAAATGGCCAGATCTTTTTGACGCCGAGTCAAACCGTTTTTATCTACGAAGTTCTGATCCGCGGTTCGATTCCGCAACTCCTATTTGTATTGTATCACTTTAAATCGGCAAATTAAAGTTATCCGTTTGAAATCTTTCAGCGTGCGAAGTCGCCGAGAGTACAACCCTCCAAGGAAGGGTGCGATAATTGAGTTACCTTGATGGAAGACCGTTCCGCCCCCGCATTAACCCCGCTCGTTTAACTGGAATTGTATAATTTTCACTTGAAAGTGTTCAATTGAATAGAATGCCTGACTGTAAACGATTGTTTGTCTGAAAAACAAACGATTCGTACACTTTTCCTGGAAATTGTTTAAATAACTTGGCTAGAAGGAGAGAATTTTTTTTAACAAAATCTCGTTGATGGAATTTCATGAACAGTAGAGAAATTATAAAAATGTAACAATCTTTTATTATACCTTTGCCATTAATTCGGCGTCGTTTTAAATAAGAGGGAAAAATGAATTTACTGTTTATTTACCCATCCCTTTTAGTTGTTCTTTGTGATGGGTCTTGCGATTTTCTTAATGAACGCTCCCTCCTTCTCCTTTTCCCTTATTTTTTCGTCCCAGGAAATAAAGGTTTTATGCAGTGAGTATACTTTTTTTATACCTTCTCGTAGATTGAAAGAGGCGGACACAAAACGGCCTGTTTATTTATTTTTCATTTCAATCCGTCAATTCGACAAAGATTGTCTTTCTGCTCAATGGAAACTAGACCATTAGTAAACAAACAAAACAAATAAAACGAAACCTGTTTTTGTAACATTATTTTAAGCGATAAATATTTCCTGACGCTTTTAAACATTGATTATCCCAGTCCGTAAGAAAGGTGATCTATCCAGGTCCGAGAATTGCTATATTAAAGGTAGATTAACAAAAACCACACTCTTTGACTTGATTAATTACATTTACTCTGCTTTGAAATAGAATAATTATACATTTAAAACATTCCTTGATTTATCTAAGGCTGTAGACTCTCTCATAATATTCTTATCATTAATTAGTATGTGTTAGGTGTAAGAGCTCAGATGACAAAGCGCTCTTAAAGCTATAAGATGTCAAAAACGTGATTAAACAGTAAACCATGGGAAAGACTAAAAAAAGGATAGAATCTTGTTGAACCGCTTGAGAATTGGCCGTACCCCGTTAACCCATGGGCATCTCGTTCTCGACAAAAGACCGAAGGCGAGTCCGTTATGGGGAAAAAGAGCCACTACAAAGCATATAATAGAGATATTCACGATCTATGTTTTAACCCTGTTAACTCAGTTAGGTCGTGTTAGATCGAGAAAAATGATGACGTAGACTTGTTAGAATCGGCTAGTTAACATTGCTCAATCTAACAGTCCAGAACCGATTTTAGGTGCTAGGTCGAAAATGTAGTCACTTTGCTTTCCGTTATGGCAAGCAACATGGCTGCCATGAATTTAACACCTGTTTTTTGTTTATACGTATTTTTATTCTTAAATACGCATTAATTAAATCAGACCAATACATTTCTTTTGTTACTTTCCGACCTGTCCTTATACTCTCATTCATAATAGATACACCCCCTATCCTATAAAGTTCTAGGCAGTTACACGTTAGGATGCAGGTTAGGTACGTCGGCTCGAATTGCAGCGTGTCTTTCTTAGTNCCTGTTAACTTTGTTAGGTCTTGGTAGATCGCGAAAAATGATGACGTGGACTTGTAACAATCGGCTAGTTAACATTGCCCGATCTAACAGGGCAGGGCCAATGTTGGCCAAGTCGAAGATATAGTCACATTGCTAGCCGTCAGGGCGTACGTAACCAACATGGCAGCCATGAATTTAACAGCTGTTTTTTGTTTACACGAAGTTTTATTCTTAAATACGCATTAATTGAATCATACCAATACATTCCTTTTGTTTATTTCTGCTCTGTCCTTATATTCTCATTCATAATAGATATAGCCCCTATTCTATAAAGTTGTAGGCTGTTAGACATGGGGATACACTTTAGGTATGTTAACACAAAGATCATGAATACCCTTAATGATTGAGATTGACCAATATTGGCTGTGGCACTCTAGGTAGGAAGAAAACAGATTCCTAATAACCTTACCTAACCTACTCGCTCTTTGTTAAGAGCCAAGTTAACAATTAACTTTTTTAATCAATCTACTTCAGCCGGGACTATTTTTTTGGGTAAAACGTTTATATTTAATATAAAAAAAGTCCGTAACATTTCGACCTTTTGGATTTACGACTGTTATAACGAAAGAGTATCTACAAAGCATATAACAGGGGTATTCACGATCTTTGTGTTAACCCTGTTAGCTATGTTAGGTCGTGTTAGATCGAAAAAAATGATGACGTAGTCTAAGAATCAGCTGGTTATCACTGCTCGATTCAGCAGGGTAGGGCCAATGTTAGATATAAGTCGAAAATGTAGTCACATTGCTATCCGTTAGGGCGTAGGTAACAAACATGGCAGCCATGAATTTAACAGCTGTTTTTGTTTTCACTTATTTTTATTCTTAAATACACATTAATTAAATCAGACATTTCTTTTCTTAATTTCTGACCTGTCCTTATACTCTCATTCATAGTGGATACATCCCCTATCCTATAAAGTTGTAGTCCTTTGATGGTTAGCCATTAGTATGTAAGTTAGGTATGTCGCCACGAATTAAAGCGTGTCATTTGTACTGTTCGAATGCATAAATAGCATTTTGAATGAAAGTGTTGATTAATTTTCCGTTTTTACTAACTTCTGGCATCTTACAATTTAACCCGAAACAAAACCATAACCAACAGCAACAAGCGTTCAAGGGCTGTTATAGCTTTATTGTTCCACAAGTCACCACGCGCAGCAATTACGGAAAAAAATTAACGTTTAACATGCTAAGAAATGAAGGGCGCGTTCACGATCTTACTGGACGTTTCTCTATTCAAGTTAACATGAGTTAACATCTAACATACATCGTAAATACTCCTAATATCTGGCTGTCAACGACTGTAAGAATACCGCAAAAACTGCAACATATCCTCCTCCGACAGAAAAATATCAGGCCCTAACTGTGACTGCAGAAATGAATTATTTGAATACCTGAATTTAATACAAGTTTATGG